CTATATTATTTGAGTAAATATTAAATGGAACTCTGCTATCTTTAGAGTCTGTTTTTTCTTAAACTACATTTTAGTCTCTCCTTTTTCAGTGTCTAAACCCTGATATTAATAAATTTGCACTTGACTGTCGGTAGGAAAATTAAACCCATCTTTCCTAAGTGGAAAGTACTTAGAAATGCTGTAGCTGAAATTGTCCAGACATTTGGAGACCCAACTGATTCTGGAAACTGTAAGCCCCACTGTCCCTGATTGAAGCTCATGCAACCATTTTCTGTTTTCCCTTTAAGAATTCTCTTCAGGGCATCTGGTAAAATATTTTAGCTTCCTATAACAACTTCCTTCAAAGTTTTACAAATGTTTGCACAATTGTCTTTGAAAAGTAAGATAGGTAGGGATACATTTTGTCCCCAGAAAATGATGAGCTCAGTAACTTTCATAAGGCAACATAGCTAATGGAAATAGAACTAATATCTCCCAGTTTTGACTTGACTCTAACTCGACCATGTCAGCCAGTGTTTAAAAACCAACGGATCAGAATCTGCTGTGCCTTATAGAAGAAAAGACTAACAATAATATTTGGCTTCTTATCCTTGACTCTCAGTACATTATAATCATAAAAGATTTTTATGCGCAATTTTAAAAGCAATTTTAAAATTGCTATTTCACTTTCATTTGGATTGATGAATTTGTTAGTTTCCAAATCGTATGATACATTTGCAGCCATCACGTGTATAATGGTAGGGATCATATTCAACCTAGATGGATTTATTCAAAATATAAACAAATATTGGTGACATCTCCAAGTTTTTGTTTCCCCAGTGCTGCCAAAATAATAGTAGTCTGATACTGTCTCAATAAGAAAGCCTCGTGTGGTTGAAAGAGGGAAGATTTGGGAAGCAATTACATCTGAATCTCTACATCAAATCTGCCATTACCTGTGTGGTCACAGGCATGCTACTACCGTCTCTGTGGCCGGTTCCTTGTGTGTAGAGTGCCTGAGCCCTAAGTTGTGCACATCGAATGAACTTACAGATATAAAATGCTTAGTATTACACTTGGCCTTGAACAAGTCTTCATCAAATGCTCACCAGAATCATGACTATTTACTCCAAAAGATATTTGTTGAACAAGACCCTTTTTTTTTTTTAATCGTTTACAAGATCCTTTACCCAGTGCTACACAAGTATCTTTTTATGGCCGACTATTGATTATGTATAAGAAGAAATGATAGAGCATGATTTCTTAGTTCCGGGTTTTTCTATCTCAAGACTATTGACATTTTGGCAGACGGTTCTTTGTTCTGGAGAGCTAGTCTGAGCCTGGTGGGCTATTTAGCAGCATTTTGGTCTTCTAATAATAGATGCCAATAACGCCATCCCCCTCCACATTGGTGACAACCCAAAATGTCTCCAGACATTGCCAAATAATGTCACCTACTATGCAAAAACAACCCCAGCTGAGAACTACAGTCTCCCATCGATTCTCTGTAAAATGTGTTCATGGACTACCAATCCCAGGAGATGCTTCCCAAAAGATCCCAGTGTCAAATAAGTTGGGAAACATTGAATATTGATTATCATCATCATCATAATAGCTCATTTTTTAAATAAACTTATTACGTGCTGCAAACTGCTCTGACCTCATTTAATCCTCTTAACAGACCTAGAAGTTAGTTACAACTCTAAGGTTTATGTTGCAAATGAGAAAATTGAACCCCAGTGAAATCAAGTAGCGACCCGGAACGTACAATGAATATGTGGCATCTGCAGGACCTGTGGATTATCCACCCATAAAGCTGCCTCTTGCATACTCCACTTTTTAATTCACAATTCAAATTGGAATATTAAAGATAATTATTCTTCAATTTTTATTGACTTCATTTTAGAAACTCACAAAATTGCTTTCTGCTTTCATCCGTTGATGACAACCTTCTCATTATTTGCTAATGATTGTCCTCATAAACATCGTTGGATGCAAGCAAAGATAGAACTTTCCCTGGAAAAGATCACAAAAATGACTCCAAACAAATTCAAATGGTTTAAAACTAAGGAGGGAGAGATTTCTCTGCTTGGATGAAGCCAGGAACAAGAAATGGAGAAAATGATAATTGGGTCTTTTAGCATAGCATTAAATAGGTATAAACAAGGGGCTGGCAGGTGAAAGGGCATTCCAAACAGAGCAAACCGTATAGGCAAAGATGTAGGCAGCTGGAAAGGTATGATATGTTTGGGGAACAGTGAGGGTGGAGGAGAACAAGTAGGGAAATGAAATTATGAGAAAAGGGTGGGTTCTGCGTTATTGTCATTGGTTTAACTCCTGGAGGCATCTGACTTTGCAATCCTTTAAGAGTTGAAGACAGCTAAAAGCACAATAGTGACATGGTCAGGTAACTAAATAGTATTTGGTGGTGGGAGACCCAATGAAGACACTAATCAGAGCTTTGAGCAAGAGATAATGAGTTATGATAGAACGAAGGAGGGGCACCTGGGTGGCTCAGTTGGTTAAGCATCTGCCTTTGGTTCAGGTCTTGATCCTGGAGTTTCAAGATTAAGCCCCACATAGGGCTCTCTGCTCAGTGGGGAGACTGCTTCTCACTCTGCCTCTCATCCCACTTGTGTTCGCTCTCTTTCGTGCTCTCTCTCTCTCTCTTCCAAATAAATAAAAATCTTTTAGAAAAAAGGTAGAATGAAGGGATCAGATTTAAGAGAGATTATTAACAAGAAAAGCAGAGTAAGGAGAATTTTGCTCTTAAATGGTCTGTAAGATCAAATAAGTAGAATTAATTTGTGGAAGAGAGATTTCTCCAAAACAAAGCGATGCACTTTCAAGGAAATAACATGGAAACATGTTAAGCAGTTGGTAACCCGGAGAATTTGCATTAACAAGTCTCAGGCTGCACAAATGCTTTCCTGGAAAACTATTCCCTTCCCATTCAGACTTCTCACTACTTCTTAGTGAAGTATAGGGCCAAGTGGTAGATTCTGAATGGTGCCCCTACCTTTCTAGTCCAGGCCACCTGGTCTTTTTCCTTCTAAACATGCCCCTTGGGAAAGACGCGTCAGCATTAATGGAGACTCAACCAAATGTATTTTGAGAAATGACGAGCCAGCTAAGAAATGTTGGGAAGAGATCCATCTGAGACACTCAGAGAACGATTGTTGAATGGATGCGTGAATCACATTCTGAGTTCACTTTAATAACTTTTTACTTAAGTGTGGAAAATAATTTTCTACTTCATCTTTTACTGAAGTAGCTAATGGGTCACTCTCAAAAAAGTACCCCAGCAAAATTCCAAATGGACTTTTACCTCTACACATCATATAATTGATTTTTTACAACTTTATTATTTAAATCTTTAAAATGGGCAGAGAGTCTAACATATTTAACCTTACTGGTTTCTTTTCCTAAATGTCGTCTTCAAACTATGTTTTAAGGGTCTTTCTCTATATTTAAGCTTATTTATGATGAAGCACTGTATTTTAGCACTGATATACAGGTTTTATAACCCTATCCCTGACAATTTAGAAGGAAAACATTTTTTTTCTACTACATTCTAACAATTTTCATAGTTGTGCATAAAATTGTAATTAATAATAATACCTGCTATTTAAGAAGTGGTCTTTCGGTGCCAGAGTATTATTTCTTGAAAGTATTATTTCAAGAAAAAACTATACTAAATAAATATTCTTTACCCATTTCTCAGATGGGCAAAAAGAAAGTCAAACTGGTAAAGTGGTTCAACCAGGACCTCGTAGTTCCCCAGTTAGACTGCAAGGCTCAAACTTTGGTCCATTAGTCGGCAAAAACTATGTGCTTAGTACAATATCATTCTAAGTCCAGATTTTACTTCTGTTCTTTTTATTTCATTTAAATGTTAATATGAGCCCATAGCTGATATGTTCCTCTCTGCATCTAGTCCTAAGAATCTCTCTCTTTACTTGTCCCTGCCCCCGAATACCATTTATCTTCTATATTTATGGGTTATGAATATATGTCATGAATGGTAACATACCTTCCAACATGCAAGGAAAAGATATTGTTAGCCCAGCTTTGTGGAATATTAATTTATGAAACTATTTAAGATTTGATTTATTTATTTTAGAGAGAGAGAGTGTGGGAGCGGGAGTGGGGGGTGGGGAAAAGCAAAGGGAAAGGGACAAGCAGACTCTGTGCTGAGCTCTATCTCTGTCTCACTACCCTGAGATCATGACCTGAGCAGAAAACAAGAGTCCCATGCTCAACTGACTGAGCCACTGCAGCGCCCTGAAAATTATTTTTAAAGTATTACTTTAAAAATAAATTTTAAAAAATTTTAAAAAACACTTTAAATATTTTTAAAATGTTACTTTACTAGGGGTGCCAGGGTGGGTCAGGCGTTAAGCATCTGCCTTTGTCTCAGGTCATGATCCAGGGTCCTGGGATCGAGTCCCATGTCAGGCTCCCTGCTTAGGGGAAGCCTGCTTCTCCCTTTCCCACTCCCCCTGTTTGTGTTCCCTCTCTCACTGTCTCTATCTCTCTCTCTCTGTCAAATAAATAAACGAAATCTTAAAAAAAAAAAAAAAAACAAAGATTATTACAGAATTTCTATATATATATATATATATATATATATATATATATATATATATAATTTTATTACATATTTGAGAGACAGCACTTTAAATGGTAAAAATTCTTACTGACAAAGTAGTTTTTATAAAACCAAATATAAAAGTTTTTATATTTGATGAACGCAGATAGCCAATAATAAAAATGTTCGTCTTCTCTGTTGCAACCCTCCCTCACCAAAAAAAAAAGAAAGAAAGAAAGAAAGAAAGAAAAAAGGAAGGAAGAAAGGACTTTTGGTCCCAATCACCAGGATAACTGACCCAGAGCTATTTTGCATTGTGACATAGAACTTGTGTTTTACAATGAAAATTTGTCATCCTATTGCAATGAAAGAATTGATATTCGTAATGTTCTTACCCATTCTTTTTTTTTTTTTTATGTGAACATTTTAGGTGTATCAATACATGCATGAAACGATCACTGTTAATGGCTGTCCTGAATTCCGTGCCAGGGCCACAGCAAAGGTAAGGCTTGAGTAACTTTGAAAGTATACTTGACCCCAGTGATCTAGTAATTGATTGTGCGCGTGTGTGTTTCAGGTGTTCTCGTGTGTACACTGTAAGAGAATTTAGACATCAGTGGCAGCCCAGAGTCTAGAACCAGTACTACTTCCCAGGTAAAAATCCTAATGGAAAATTGAACGTTTCTGCTGCTTCTGTAGCTTAAGAAAGGAGAATGATTTCATTAAACTCACTAAACGTCCATTTGGCACAAGCAAATCTACTGGTTCATTGTATGAGATCATATGTGGTTTTCTGACACATGTCTCTGATCCAAAAGAACTTGTTCCTTATTCAGTGCATGAAGATTTATTTGCAAAAGTCGAAAGATTTAACTTGAGGCAGACTTGAAGGGAACTCCCCTGAGACCCACTGACCTAGGATTCTTCCTTATCTTCAGCGGGAGTGGTGGGTAGCTTGCTGAAAGAATGTGACCTTGACCTAAAGGGAAAGCCCATCACCTTTTGTGGTACTGACCACATTTGTTCCTTGAAAACTCAAATCCAGAGACTGCAGAGAAATCTAATGGGAACTCTTACCCTAACAGAAATCTTACAGCAATGAGATCATGAAATTATCTGGAAAATAGACCATTAGGAAACAACAGTTTTAAACTAAGATCACTGATGTAGTTCTTATTTTACAAACACAGAGGTGTTATAATAGACGCACAACAACTTGCTTTTTAAAAGCTCTTCTCTTTCTAATAATGTATGAGAAACAAGACTGGTGAAAATAATCAGCATTTTCCATTGAATTCTTTTGTGTTATATCACCCCGTTTGGTTTCTCTCCTGATTTTTTTAGTTGTCATTCTGTAACTGAACACTGTAGATTTGTAAGTTGTTTTGTTTTATTTTGTTTTGAACCCAGACAAAAGAGAGTGTTATTATCATTATATCCTGCTTTGCTTGTACTGAAGTGGAACACACTGAAAAATGATCCCTACGTGGTTTAATTAAGGGGAAAGTGAATTATGTAGTGTTTTACCATTCTCATTTCTTATTCATGTAGAACAGCAGGATAGTAGCATACTGTTGCAATAGCACAATATTTTCTGGTTGTTTCTGGGCTGTCTGCATTGCATCCATGTCAGCCATTAAAATCTATGCATGACGACGAGGTTTGCATGAGCAAATGCATGTAGCTAAAAACAAGCCATTATTTCCATATCATTCACTAAATTTCACTAAATGCAGACAGTAGCATAATGCTCAATTGATGTGACAATGCTGTGTGTGGAAAAGAATGGACAGTAGTTGGCAATCAGTATTTTCAGAGTGTGGAGTAAATCACTTTATGGTAGGCCTCTAATCAACTGTGGTTAAGGCAGATGAATGCAAGTGGAAAATAGGAAGCAGGCAGAGAATCTTTTCTTGGTGGAAACTACTTCAGGGCTGTTCTTTTCTTTCCATGAGGGGTGGGAACTAATGGTAAGTTGGGTTTTCGACTTATTTTTAAAAATTAATAGATGAGTCTTAAAACTATGTCCATATTAAATGAAATTTTGGACGTGTTGATATAAAACCATAGGCTGCTCATTTTTGCCCACAACCCCACAGGAGGTGAAATATTAAATGTAAAATGTGGGGGAAAACATCCTTAACAGATAAGAAGCCTTCTCATAATAATGCCAAACATTGATGTGAAATACTAATAATCTGTTTGAATCTATTGTGTTAGCTTTTATTTTCCTCTAAGTATCCTCAATCAAAAAAGAAAGAAAGAAAGAAAGAAACCCCAAAAACAAAAACAAAAACAACCCCAAAACTCAATTTGCAAAGCCAGTGGTCAGGCCAGAGTGAGATTATACGTATCCGCCAGAGTTTATATGTATAAGTGCTTCTAAGTACATTGAGTAAATATTCATGAGTATTTATGTGCAAGCACTAGGCAAGACTGTGTCACACAAAGAAGCGGATTACGTAATCTCTGCCCTTCCGGTGCTCACGGTCAACAGGTACACGGAATCCTTAGAGCATGCGTACAGTGCGGAGGTAGTCTATGGACCAAACCTATTTTGGAGTGCGAGAAAAGGAGGAATTTCAGCTGCCTCAGGTACCTGGGAAAGAGTTTGGTGAAAAGGGGACATTTGTATCAGAATGGATAAATTCTAGAAAGCCGGAAATAGCCAGTTAGGGCTTTGCCAAAGAAAGGACTCATAGATGACATTTAAGTGAAGCAAGCTCCCTCCCCACCGTGTTCTTTTTTTCCACAGGAGAATGCTATAAAAATAAGAGGAGGTGCCTGACCCTACCCACTGCAAAGCGTACAAAGAGCCTTATTTCCCTCGTTTTATTACCAAATGACCATCTTTTCTTTCAGGCAACAGTTGCAGCTTTTGCAGCTAGTGAAGGCCACTCCCACCCTCGGGTAGTCGAACTGCCAAAGACTGATGAAGGCCTTGGTTTTAACGTGATGGGAGGAAAGGAGCAAAATTCCCCCATTTATATCTCTCGCATCATTCCTGGAGGGGTGGCCGAAAGACACGGAGGCCTCAAAAGGGGAGACCAGCTGCTATCAGTGAACGGAGTGGTATGTTCCTAAAATAACCAGAGGTTTTCTCCCCTGAGCACATTTCTCCCCCCTGCTGTTACTGAAGTCAATGTTGAAAACCTAGAAGAAATCAGAATTTTGCGTCCAAAGGGCTTCCTCAGTGTTGATGGACGGTAAACCCACAAAAGCAGTCATTTTGTGTAGTTTTCAGGTTTCGTTTCGTTGGTTTGGGTATGATTAGTATGAACTAGTTAGAAAACCATCCCAAGGAGTCATCCCAAGTAGTAGAAATTTACCCGATACGATACTGGAATGGATTTAATGTTTAGAAGAACATAATAATCCCAAGGTACTTTTTATTCAAATTACTATAGAAAAATATATGCATTTAAGAAATAAAGATAAAACTCCTCACCCTGTATTTTTTATTTTAATTAAAGAGGAAGGATAATTTTAATGGAAAAAGATAACGCACAGCTAATTCCTTAATGTACAGCTCTAATAAAAACATATTAGCCTCTTCCCCAAAAAAGCTTGATTATGTTATATATTCATCCTGTATATTTTCATTTTGGCATGAAGTTAAGGCAGATTAAAATATATAACATTTTAAAGTAGCAGTATGAGCATTTTTTTTTCATACCCTTGCATTCTTTGGATGCCATTACCTCCGCATGTAATAAGGACTTGCTTAAGAAATAGCTTTATCTGAATCATTTTCTCCTCCTAACTTCTACTTACATCAAAAATAATTGAAAAGCATAAATTTCAGAAGTTTAAATAGGAAAAGATCAGTGTTCACCTGTGTATTACTCTCCTAACAGCTTTTCCTGAGAACTTAAGATTTTAATTAATCAGCTAGATCTGGGTTATTTGTGGCCATGTTGATCTCTGCTTAGAACACAACATCTAAAATAAAATACATCTGGAATGTGATATTGGTAACGAGAGGGTAAATTCTTGTGTATTTATATCTTGTATTTTGTTTGTTTCTTTCTTTTTTTATTTTTTTGGCCTAACTAGTAGTTTTACAGAACCCCAGACTACTCATTCAACTCTGCTGACCTCCGATGGCCATCAAAATCATCAATCCATGAAAATTCTATGTCCCTTCAGCATTCCAGTTCTAAAATTACCATTTCATTTACTTTTTTCTATGTAACAATGCTTTGAGATGAGCTTTCTTGTTGACCTTTAGGTAACTATGACTTTTTCAAAGCATAGTTCTACTGATCATTTCAGAGTCCAACTTTCTAGTAGACCTAGGTCATTCAAGTATGTCACAAAGTAATCTGTACCTCAGTGTATGAATTTACTATAGTTTATCAGAAAATATAGGGAAGATCAAAAGAAAATATAGATTTTTTAAAAAATGAAAAGTACAGAAAAGAACCAAAAATACATTAATAGAAATTGTGATTATATATAGCAACGATAAATGTCAATGAAATCGATTTAATGGGTGGTTGGTTGACATTTAACTATCTGTCAAGGGAGCTAAAGAGCCTTTGTTTAACCCATGTATTTGCAAGGAAACAGCTGTAGGCATTTCATAATCTCTCGTCTATTCCTTGCAATGACCATGTGACTTTATCTGGGAGGCTGCAGTGGGTGTTGGAGAGTGGAATCCGATGCATCAGTCTTTATCACTCAAAATTCATATGATTATAAGCTAACATCCCCTACACTTGAATTCCCTAGCCACAATAAGGAGAGTTGTAAGGAAGGGCCCTGATGAAGATTAAAATGAGGCAGACTGTCTTTTAAGAACTGTCCTGTCATAATTTGGTGAAACACCCTTTGATAAGTAAGGGTGTTTACTGAAGAAGGTTGAAGAGGGTTAGCGGTAGCCCCATGATAGTTAATGCTAGCCTTGCTAAAAGTATGTCTTAAGGCAAGTTCTACTACACAGGCAGGCGTATTTTATTTAATTTTTTTGAAGATTTTATTTATTTATTTGAAAGAGAGAGAGATAACGAGCAGGAGGGAGGAACAGAGGGAGAGAGAGAACAGACTCCCTACTGAGCAGGGAGACTGACTCAGGACTGATCTCAGGACCCTGAGATCATGACCAGTGCGGAAGGCAGTCACTTAACCGACTGAGCTACCCAGGCGCCCCTACAGGTAGGCCTATTTCAGCAAACATGTTAGCAAAAAGGCGCTCATTCAGTCTCTTTCAGAAGTTGATCAAATTCCAGTTCTCTGTCCATTCAGATGTTTCAATCATTACCTGGGAGAAAAGGTTCACTTGAAGCAGATGAAACAACATTCCAGGGCTAGGATTTTGCTACCCTTACATTCATCTCAGACAATGAGAAATCCTATTAAACTGGCAGTTAGAAATCAGAAGCTTTAGTGATCAGACTTAGGCCACTAATCCTATGTATGGGCAATGAGCCTCCTCAAGATTTTTGTACCCTGTTTGTGCAAAGATGGTGAGTGTCTCCAAAAGTCTTTAATATTCCACGTATATTTAAAACTCTTAATCTTACCAGTGAAGTTCCATTTATCATGGTAGTTAATGAGTCACTAGTTTCACCAATTTTGAATCCATTTCTGATATACTTTTGCTAATAAGCAAAGCATCATTTTTTCAGTGAAATAGTATAATTAATGCTTTTACGTGGCTAAGCTCTTGGACTGGTTTAAGCTTCTCAAATTGGGGTTTCAAGTATTGCACATCCATATATTTAAACTATATGTTATAAGCTACATATTTTAAAGTTTTTTAAAAGTAAGTTATATACATTTTAAGAGTGCCTAATATTGACTAGATGTTCATCAAGAGGTAGTTTTCATTCTGTAGATGAGAAACTTCTTGAGTTTCTCCAAGCCATGCAAATAGTAATTAATCCCAGGCAAGAACCCTGGGCTTCTAACACCTAATCCAGAAGTCTTTTCAGTATAAACTTCAGTCAGATAGAAGTACTTAATTAGAAAAAATAATAATAACCCCATAATGGAAGAGCTAAAAAAGAGGAAAGATTGGCAAATGATCAAATTATTTCTCTTAACACCTTAAAGTACCATTTGAGGAAATTACTATGGAAGATTTTGAGAACATGTCATTATAAACTGAGAAAAAAAAAATTAGAATAAAGTGATCTGAAGGGCTGAAGCAAACCTAAACTACTTTAGTACAAGTACTCTGGGGAACATTTCCTAAAGTCCTACTTAAAAAGTGAAGAAATTATTCCATGGGTCTTTAAACATCTGAAAAGATATTTGAAAGTATGTCTTGATTATGTATGTTTGTTTTTATTCCCTGCCTCCTTTTAGAAAGGATATGTCACAATGTCTGATAAAAAAAAATGGATATATAGAACTATTAACATGGCACGTTAGGTAATAAAGTGGGATGATGGAAAGAGGGAAAAATAAATAAGTAGATATAAAGAGAAGATACAGCAATTGGGCAGGTGATTTTCAGTTTCTCTCTTAGTGTCTTGGAAGACAAAACAGAAGGAAACTCGTACCAGCTCAGCTATCATTGGAGGGAATTTTTTTTTTTTTCTCTAAACCTGAGCTTCGGAGAAATTTCCCATGGGATTCTTACAAATGGGACATTGAATCACCTAATACGATTTTCTAGAAAATACAGAGGCCTTTTGTGTAGGACTACTTCTTATGTCAACCCTCAGTAAAAACAGAGCTGAATGCTCGATTAAAATCTAGCATTAACAGAGGGTCAAAATGTTACTGTTAGAGTTTATAGCTTTGTATTGATCTTCTTTTCACCCTTCTCTGCCCAAGTATGTCATCAGCAATTTTGAGAAAGGACTAAAGCGTGTAAGCCTTTTTTTTTTTTTTTTTAAAGGGTGCAGCCATTGTGGAGGCGGCAAAGACAATAAATAAATTTAGTGATAAAGCCCAGATAGTAAAAGTAAAAATCTCAGTAGAATGGAAGAATAGGCCTAATTTAATGAGAATCTACATGAGGTCTTGCTCCTGTGCCCACAAAACTAGCTACCTCTGTGCAAAATCAGGGAGGAATGACTAAACATCAAAACCAGAGAGGAAAAAAAAAAGTTTGGGGATTTCAGTTGATTTCAAGAGGAATATGAGGGAAGTTGGAAAAAAAAAAAACACAAAAACATGTTAATGTGAGTCTCAGGGCATTAATACAAATATAGTGTACAGACATGGGAGGAAACTGGTCCAGCTCTGGAATGTGCTGTTCAGCTCACACCCCATTGTGCTCCAGTCCTGGTTCCATCCCTGTGGAGAACAGTTAAGTCCATCCAGACATGAGCAGTCTTCTATCCAATGAACATGTTAAAGAAGGAAGGGAGTTGTTTAGGATGGAGAAGATAATATTTACAGGAATGATGGCTGTCTTCACTCATCCTGCCTTGTGTGAGGTGCCTGATGGCAGAACCAAGGCCCTTGGGTAGAAGGCATAAGGAAGGTATTTCAAGCTTATTATACTAAAGAGCTTTTCAACACATAGAGCTCTATAAACAGGGAAAGACTGAATCCTGAAACAGTATGTGCCCATCATTTGAAGTTTTAATCAGAGAACAGAAGAACCACCCTGAAGGAGTATTTTAGAGTATTTGTAGAGAGCTGGAATAGTTGGCCCCAAGTTCCCTTCTAACTCTGTAACTGTGATTCTGTGTCCTTAGATGGAATTTCCCTGAGACCACTATACACACCCCCACACACCCCTTTTTATACAGGTAAGTAGGTTCCAACTACTCTCTGTGCACATTACTAATGCGAGATTTTTCCTGAACAGAACGATTAGGAAGCTACTACAATATGATACTTTCTGTTTATTTAGAACTTTACAATTTACGAATGGTATTTACACGATATTCTCCCAATTGTTCCTCAGAACAGTCGAGCATGAAATGGGTAGCTAGGCCAGAGTTTGTTCCCCGTCCCACTGCACAAACACACACACACATACACACACACACAGAGAGAGAGAGAGAGAGAGAGAGAAATGGATACACAGAAACCCACACTGAAATACACATACAGGAACTGAATTCCGGTCTTCATTGTGATCATAATTGATGCTTACCAAATGTTAA